ATTATAATGTAATAGAAGGCGGGATGAAAATCTCTTCCCTTTCCTGCCCAGCTCCACCACTCACCTCCCAGTGCACAGAATAGGTGAAAAAAAGCTCATTTGGCTTATTCGGGTCGATTTCTTGAGCGGAGGCGCTGGCAGCTTCAGGCAGGACACAGACCCCCTTCTCGTCCACCTTCATATCTGCGGACCAAAGAAGAGAGTCAGGACGGCTAATCTTTCTTTGGCCAAAAGTCTCCTCCTGTATACAGTAGTGGCCAAAACTGTGGAAACCTTTTGGGGAAAGTGTATTTTTGAGGTTGGATGGCTAATAACACCACTTTTCTTTTGGAGAAGTACCATAAAATTATATTATCAATGGAAAGATCATTTAATCGAGAATGTAATGCAACAAAGCTTGTTCAATTATCCGTACTGCGTTCTAAGAAAAGGTATAGCCAAATAACCAGAAAAAAAAGCACAACTTGCTTAGGTGGATCTGCAGGTAGCTTTCCTTCATCTGATTGTAGCCAATGAGCACGAGAGTTTAGAGAGCCAATCGGGTGTCATCTTGTTTCGGCAATGAGCCAATCAGATCACTGTAGGATCCGGTTATCGATGTCACGTATTGAAGCTGAGAGGAGGACATTTGTCAGTGTGTTATGTGATGGCTATCCAGTTGGCTGGGTTTTTTTGTGTTCTTTCATTGAGTGAGCTTGTAAAACGTAATAAAATTAAAGCAATGGTGCAAAGAGTTGACTGGTTGCCCAGAAAGCGATGTACAAATAGTATTATTAAGTGAACAAGGCTACAGCTATAAAGAAATTAGGAGAAAAATGGGTGGAAACTTAACCAAAGGCGGCATTTCTACTGTACACTTTTCCCAAAAGGTTTCCACCATTTTGGCCACTACTGTAGGGTCAGACCGAACGGAGAAGAGCCGCACGGCCCTCTCACCTGCCAGCGCGATGCTCTGCGGGATGACCTCGAAGCGAACCACCCGATAGGTGGGCTCCTGGCTCTCCTCCACCTCCTCTCTATGGTAGTAAAGGATGAAGGAAAGATGGTTGTGCAGGAAGAACTAGAACAGAGGACATGGAAATACACATTAGAAGGCCCGGGACAGGGGAAGCGGAAGGGCGCAACTCGCCACGGGCAACTCGCTGCAGGACAATTGAACCGTTCAATTTCATTATTTAAAATATTTTTTTTAAAAAATATATATTTTAAGACTGCAACCAATTTTGGTCACCATACTACAAAAAAAGATGTTGAGACTATTGGAAAAAGTTCAGAGAAGAGCAACGAAGATGATCCAAGGCCTGGAGACTAAAACAGACGAAGAACGGCTGTGGGACTTGGATTTGGCTAGTCTGAAGAAAAAAAGAAATAGGGGAGACATGATAGCAGCATTCCAGTATCTGAGGGGCTGCCACAAGGAAGAGGGGGTCAGGTTGTTCACCAGAGCACCAGAGGGAAGGACGAGAAACAATGGTTGGAAACTGATCAAAGAGAGAAGCAACCTGGAATTAAGGAGAAACTTCCCGACAGTGAGGACAATTAACCAGTGGAACAGCTTGCTACCAGAAATCATGGGCACTCCATCACTGGAAATTTTCAAGAAGAGACTGGACAATCACCTGTCTGAGATAGTATAGGTTCTCCTGCTTGAGTAGGGGGCTGGACTAGAAGACCTCCAAGGTCCCCCAGCTCTGTTCTATTCTATTCTATTCTATTCTATTCTATTCTATTCTATTCCTTATTCTATTCTATTCCATATTTTCTATTCTATTCTATTCTATTCTATTCCATATTTTCTATTCTAAGTCGAGGGTAACTGGAATTAAGGGAGAGAGCGAAAGGCCCCCTCAAGCGCGCGCGCACACACGCACACACACACAGAGGTCCCTGGTCCCCCTACCCTGTTCTTCTCCGTGAACCCAAGTCGGTAGCCATGTTCAAACTGAAGGTCTCGGTCCTTGTTCTTCTCCTCCTCTTCGCGGGTTGAGTAGAATTCCAGCCTCGTGGCCACCGGCAAGTTGTCGGCAATGCTGCAGGGACAAATCCTGGGGGGGTCAGACCCACGGCCTCCCCTCCGCTCTAAAGCAGAGCCCCCCAACCTTTCCAGGAGCGGGGAGAGGAGAGAAAGAGGGGATGGTTTTGTGGGAGGGGTAGGCGCGTGCATGCGCACGAGCACCTGCTGCTCGCGCAAGTGGGGCCAAGAGCACTTGTGGCGCTCGGGTGAGTGAGGCCCCGGGTGCCCCCGATGCTCATGTGAGTGAGGCCCCGATGCTCATGTGAGTGAGGCCCCGATGCTCATGTGAGTGAGGCCCCAAGGCTCATGTGAGGCCCCAAGGCTTATGTGAGGCCCTGATGCTCATGTGAGTGAGGCCCCAATGCTCATGTGAGTGAGGCTCCAAGGCTCATGTGAGTGGGGCCCCAAGGCTCATGTGAGGCCCCAAGGCTCATGTGAGGCCCCGATGCTCATGTGAGTGAGGCCCCAAGGCTCATGTGAGTGAGGTCCCAATGCTCATGTGAGTGAGGCTCCCAACAGCCCCGATGCTCATGTGCGGCCCCAAGTAATCACGATGCTCGGATGACTGAGGTCCCGAGTGACCACGATGCTTGTGTCAGGCCCTGATGCTCGTGTGAGTGAGGCCCTGAGTTGTCCCGATGCTCGTGTGAGTGAGGCCCCCAACAGCCACGATGCTAGTGTTAGGCCCCGAACGGCCGGGATGCTCATGTGAGGTCTCAAGCAGCCACAATGCTCACACGAGCAAGATCCCGCAATGCTTGGGTGAGGGAGGCTGTGCCTATGGCCCAGTTGCGAAGAGGCCACGGTAACGGGCAGCGGCCCACCGGTTGGGGACCCCTTCCCTCTAAAGGACTCACCCGGCCCCGCCGGAGGCAAGGCAGAGCCCTGCTTATTTTGAGGTCTCGAGAACTCACAGGTGAACGTAGTACTCCTCCTGGATCCGTTCCACCACCAGTTGGCTGCTCTCCTTGGTCAACATCTTGGGCTTGTTTGGGACATGACACAACACGTTGCACTTCTTTTCCACGTTCATGGAAACCTCGAAGGGCGTGTTGACAATGCGATCCCCTCTCAGGACCTCCCCTGTAAGCAAGGCCGGGCAGGGTGGAGGGGAGGAAGAAAACAATTCAGAGATTTAAGGCTTAGGGCAAGGGTAGGCAACCTTGGCTTTTTTAAGACTCGTGGACTTCAACTCCCAGAATTCCTGAGCCAGCATGGGGGAACTATGGCCCCCTCATGGCTCGTGGACTTCAACTCCCAGAATTCCTGAGCCAGCATGGGGGAACTATGGCCCCCTCATGACTCGTGGACTTCAACTCCCAGAATTCCTGAGCCAGCATGGGGGAACTATGGCCCCCTCATGACTCGTGGACTTCAACTCCCAGAATTCCTGAGCCAGCATGGGGGAAGTATGGCCCCCTCATGACTCGTGGACTTCAACTCCCAGAATTCCTGAGCCAGCCATGCTGAGGGGAAAGGGAGAGGTTTCCAAGCTGAGCCATGCTGGCTCAGGAATTCTGGGAGTTGAAGTCCATGAGTCATAAAAGAGCCAAGGTTTCCCACCCCAGCTTAGGGGCAAAACAAACAGCTATCAACGCATATATATTTCGCATATACGGTATATATAAATGTATAAATAAATTTGAAATAAGCTTATAAATTTTATATATTTTTTTCTTTGAACAACCCTGTAATCCAGGGGTCTTCAAACTTGGCCCTTTGATGACTGGTGGACTTCAACTCCCAGAATTCCTCAGCAAATTTGAGGACCCCTGTTCTATAGAATATATAAGACAAGTATGAGTATTTTGAGGAAATCTTGAAGGAACATTCTGGAAGAAAAGAGTAGATAGAGGCCTAGTTCAGATTTTTGTGGGCTGCTTTGTGGCTCCGCGGCTGGAAGAGAGGTAATTATCACTAAATGTAGAACAAGGGTAAGATTTCTGCCTTTTTTCCCCTCATAAAGAATGTAATACAGGTATGTAGTCCTAAACCAGGGGTCTTCAAACTTGGCCCTTTCATGACTGGTGGACTTCAACTCCCAGAATTCCTCAGCCAGCGTGCCTGGCTAAGGAATTCTGGGAGTTGAAGTCCACCAGTCATAAAAGGGTCATAGTTCCCTCACGCTGGTTAAGGAATTCTGGGAGTTGAAGTCCACCAGTCATAAAAGGGTCATAGTTCCCTCACACTGGCTGAGGAATTCTGGGAATTGAAGTCCACGTCATCAAAGGGCCAAGGTTGAAGACCCCTGCTCTAGGCCACTATGCCGCTCAGTTATAATTGCCAATGTATTTTGACATATTTACAAATAAATAAATTTATAAATTTTGTAAGTAAGTAAATAAAATGCATTTATGTATCTATTTAAAGACAAATCAACATTTCTGGGATCCTGATCATAGGGCAATTGGTGCAAGAGCATAGAGGCAAATAAAAGACAGATATTTCACCTGAGTAGATTCACCTGTGGTAGGGCACGCTTACTCCCACCCACAGGATCCCTAAAACCCCAAAGGAGCCGCGATTGCTCAGAAGGCAGCATTTTGGTCCATGCTCAAAAATGTCTACTTGACGTGACTGCTCAGTTTGAAATAAGGGCCACCTGACCTGGCCCAGCCAAATTTTATCCTCGGGCAGACTTTCTTGCAACTTTGGAAACCCTTAAAACATGAGGACCTTTAAATATGCTTTGCAGATCTGTATTCGACTGTTAAGTAGCCTCTAGAGCGCTCTTGCTGGCATAGAGCTTAAGGGGCAGGATGGCAGGCAAACTCTGCCCACAGCCGAGAGTTCGATCCTGATCGGCTCCAGGTTGAGTCAGCCTTCCGTCCTTCAGAGGTCGATAAAATGAGGACCCAGATTGTTGGGGGCAACAGGCTGACTTTGTAAATCGCTCAGAGAGGGCTGTAAAGCACTGTGAAGTGGTATATAAGTCTAAGGGCTATTGCTCTACCCCTCCCAATCTATCTCTGTCTCCCTCTTTCCCTATCATCCGTCTATCTATTTATCTATATACCTATACCTACCTACCTACCTATATCTATCATCTATCTATATCTATCAATCATCTCTATCTATCATCTATAACATCTATCATCTATCATCAATCTATCTATCTCTATCTATCATCTATCTATATCATCTATCATCTATCTCTATCTATCATCTATCTCTATCATCTCTCTATCATCTGCCTGCCTATCTATCTATCTGTCTGTCTGTCTGTCTATCTGCCTATCTATCTGCCTATCTATCTGCCTATCTATCTGCCTATCTATCTGCCTATCTATCTGCCTATCTATCTATCTATCTATCTATCTATCTATCTATCTATCTATCTATTAGTCTATCTATCTATCTATCTATCTATTATCTGTCTATCTATCTATCTATCTATCTATCGTCTGTCTGTCTGTCTGTCTGTCTGTCTGTCTATCTATCTATCTGCCTATCTATCTGCCTATCTATCTGCCTATCTGCCTATCTGCCTATCTATCTATCTATCTATCTATCTATCTATCTATCTATCTATCTACTCTATCTTATCTATCTATCTATCTATCTATCTATCTATCTATCTATCTATCTATCTAAACTATCTATCATAATTCTCTCTCTCTCTCTCTCTCTCTCTCTCTCATCTATCTATCTATCTATCTATCTATCTATCTATCTATCTATCTATCTATCTATCTATGTATCTATCTATGTATCTATCTATCTATCTATCTATCTATCTATCTATCTATCTATCATCTGAATGCAGTATTGCAAACTCACTCTGCCCACTGCCAGGAGTTCGATCCTGACTGGCTCAAGGTCAACTCAGCCTTCCATCCTTCCGAGGTCGGTGAAATGAGGACCCAGATTGTTGGGGGCAAATAGGCTGACTCTGTAAACCACTCAGAGAGGGCTCTAAAGCCTAAGAGCTCTTGCTAAGTGGTGCTGGAGATCAGATACCCAGAGGTGTCAATCTTCAGGGAGAGGTGCCAGCACATTTACAATACGGCAGGTGGAAGGCGATGCTAGGGGAAGGCGGACTGGAGCATTACCTAAATTTTCAGCTTTATATTTGATGGTGTCCGGCCGGCAGAAGGGCAGGGAGTAATACTCGTAAGGTAACTGCGTCCGCGAACTGGTGAGTTTCACAGCCTGCGAAAAAGAGAGGGAGAAAGAGAGGCCGTCGGTCCCAAATCCCCACATCTGAGTGGATCCCAGTGGAACCAATGACAAAGGCCGCATCATGATCCCCTGATCCTCCTCCTTTCACCCCCAAAATAAAGTCTGTTTATAGACATTAGCATTTTCTTGTCTATCTTAACTTGTGTTTCTAGTCTGTTTTTACGGCACTGTTTTTGATAGGCTGAACTGTTTTTTCCCTTTGTGTAAAGATGTTTGGAAAAAAATGAGTTGAGTAGTTCTGCTTTCTCCCTGTTGCTTGTCATCTTCTTGCCACTTTCCCCCACTAATGGACCAATCGTTTCCTTCACTTTTTTCTTGTTTTTTACATGTTGAAAGAAGCTTTTGTTGTTGTTGTTGTATAACTTCCTGCAGTATTTGATTGCATATATTCCAAAATGCTGAAATGCTGAAAGGGTTAGGCAATATCCTCCGCTTCTAGTGGGTACGTTCTGTGAACAGAATTACTCAGTTGTGAAAGATCCAGCATCCATAACAAGAAAATCACCTAGATTGAGCGGGAATGATGGACGCTATAATCCAGCGTATCTGAAGGGGGCCAGATTGAAGAAAATTCACTCAAAACCCTTCACATATCCACAGTTATCCCTGTAAGGTAACTTAACAGACCAGAAATAACTTTTGTTCTTCTGTAATTTGTATAACGATCCAGTTTTCTTTTCATTTTAGGTAAGATTGTATTAATTTTTTTCCATACATATAAGAGTATTTTTTCAACCGACATGCTGTCTGAGTTTAAATCTATCTATCTATCTATCTATCTATCTATCTATCTATCTATCTATCTATCTATCTATCTATCTATCTATCTATCTATCTATCTATCTATCTATCTATCTATCTTCTATCTAAATAAATAAATAAAAATGTAAATGTTCGTTTGTTCAAAATCTTAAATCTCCGAAAGTTCTTCACCGATTGCTTTGAAATTTTGACACAAAGTTGCATTCGAATATGTGCGTGTTTTTATATACCTACTATTATATAGATGTCACACCTGTGACAGGTAAAAACATGCTGTTTTGAAAAACAGCGCCATCTGTTGGACGTAAAAGCAACACACGCTACGATTTGTGCGGTTTAGATCTAGACACGGATTGCTTCTCACATGGACAATTATATGTTGCGTGTTCTAGAGTCGGCAAACCAGACAATCTCTATATCTACACAGACAATGGAACAACAAAAAATATTGTATGCCCACAGGCATTGTGAAATTAAACATATTACAAATGTGCGCTTTCTCTTTTCTTTCTTTTCCATTTAACCCAGTGTTTCTCAACCTTGACAACTTTAAGGCATGTGGACTCAACTCCCAGAATTCCACAGCCAGCAATGCTGGCTGTGGAATTCTGGGAGTTGAAGTCCACATGCCTTAAAATTGTCAAGGTTGAGAAACACTGATTTAACCGGACTGAGCCACAGCAACGCGTGGCCGGGTACAGCTAGTATACTAATACATATCGAATTCCTAATCCTTTATTCTTTCCTCTATCGGTAAAGTTTGATAACACTGTTTCTTCTTTTTCTTCCAGTCTTTTTCATTTTAGATTCCTTTCCCAAACTCGCCTTACAGCTACAATGAGTCAGGAGAAAAACAGTTCCAGGTCAAAATCTGTAAATTCTTCCCCCAGGGGGGGTAGCGAAGCTGAAACTAAGCAGGTGAAAGGATCAACAGGTGAAAGCATCTTTTCCCACGTCAATTAAAATATTTGAAGGGCTTAACAGGCAAGACTGCTTCTCATGAGTCAGAAAAATCAGACAAAGCAATCCATGGCACTCTCAAAGTTAACACCTGGCGTAACCGGACCTGCAACCGGCTAAAACTTAGCAGGAATGTAACACCTCTGGCAATGTGGCCAAAAGAGCAGCCCCTCCCTGTGAGATTTTGTGCAGGTCTGTTGGGACTGTTACTCCCAGTACTCTCCAGTTTTCACCCACACTAATAATAATAAAGTTGGAAGGTACCTTGGAGGTCATCTAGTCCAACCCCCTGCTCAGGCAGGAAACCCTATACCATTTCAGACAACGTCCAGTCTCTTCTTGAAAACCTCCAGTGTTGGAGCATTCAGAGTTTCTGGAGGCAGGTTGTTCCACTGGTTAATTGTTCTAACTGTCAGGAAGTTTCTCCTTAGTTCCAGGTTGCTTCTCTCCTTGATGAGTTTCCATCTGTTGCTTCTTGTCCTGCCTTCAGGGGCTTTGGAGAATAGCTTGACTCCCTCTTCTTTGGGGCAGCCCCTGAGATACTGGAACACTGCTATCCTGTCCCCCCTCGTCCTTCTCTTCATTAAACTAGACATCCCCAATTCCAGCAACCTTATATGTTTTAGCCTCCAGTCCCCTCATCATCTTTGTTGCTTTTCTCTGTACTCTTTCTAAAGTCTCAACATCTTTTTTACATCGTGGTGACCAAAACTGGATGTAGTATTCCAAGTGTGGCCTTACTAAGGCCATGTAAAGTGGTATTAACACTCCACGTGATCTTGATTCTATCCCTCTGTTAATGCAGCCTAGCACTGTGTTGGCTTTTTTTGGCAGTTAAGTGTTACTCACTTAACAGGTTTGCTGCTTAGCAGTGGAGGTTTTGGGTTCAGTCGTGGTCGTAAGTCAAGGGTTAGGGTCCTGCTATGTGGTTGTGTGTCACTTCCCCCCCCCTCCCCTTACAGTCTAGCACTGTGTTGGCCTTTTTGGCAGCTGAAGCACACTGCTGGCTCCTATTTAAAGGATTGTCCACTAGGACTCCAGGATCCCTCTCACAGTTGCTACTATTGAGCAAGGTACCCCCTATACTATACCTGTACATTGGGTTTTTCTTGCCTAAAGTAGAACCTTACTTTTTTCACCACTGAATTTCATTTTGTTAGATAGCGCCCAGTGTTCAAGTAGGGGCACTTCAAGAAATGCAGCCGTCTGCAGAAAGGAAAGTTTAATTTTTTCTTTCTTTCTTGTGGGGGATGACAAACTACCATGATCAGACTCGGCCAGGATTCTAAACCGGGTCAAGTTGCAGAGGGCATGAAACTCGGTGCCATCTTACCTTGATTTCTACAGGAGCGTTCCGGTGGAAATTGATGGGAGCCACTCCTGGCACGTAGAAGCAACTCACCCCGTGCCACAAGAGGAAGAACGGGCACGTAAGCCTCTGTCAAAACATAAAAAGAGACGCTTTGTCACCAGGGTGACCTCTGTTCGGAAGACAGGAAGGAGAGACTCGAAAAGGATCGTCTCCAGGGTCCAGTTTTTGTTTGTTTGTTTATTTAGCATATGGCACAAAGCACATGGATAACAGAGCACAGAAGGAGTACATAATACTATGGTACACGTATGATAGAATAGAATAGAATAGAATAGAATAGAATAGAATAGGTTTAAATATTCCTCCAGAAAATCTGTGAATTTATAGCCAAGTAACTCAGTCCCTTTCTTTGATGGATGCAAACGATCTCTTTTGTACATTTCTTCATTGGACCAGCTGCTGACATCGTGACTAATATATCCAAAGCCTTCCCCTTTACTCCACTCCTTTAACCACATATTGAATTGTGCTATACGCTGGCCTTTTCCATTTTGGTCCTTATACGCCGGTAAGACCTCTGAAAAAAATAAGCCTACAGCCTATTCTGCTAAGTTCCTGCCCCAGACTCTGGAAGTCATTCTGCACAGTGAGTACATCTTTTTGGGACAGATCATTAGTGCCAATTTATTTATTTATTTATTTAATTATATTTTTACCCCGCCCTTCTCCTTGCGGACTCAGGGCGGCTAACAGCCTAATAAAAACAAATACAAAAATACAACCATTTAAAAACATAATTTTTAATTTTTAATACTATTCTATTCTATTCTTATTTCTAATACTATTCTATTCTTATTTCTAATACTATTCTATTCTTATTTCTATTCTATTCTATTCTATTCTATTCTATTCTATTCTATTCTATTCTATTCTATTCTATTCTATTCATCCGAGATGAAGAACTTGTTTTCAACAGGGAGAAATGCGAATCAGGTATTACACATCAGTCACGCAAGAACAGAAAAGCATCCAAAAAGAGAAGCCACCTTCTGGTTGGTGATTCAATTATAAGGGATGTAAATTTAGGAAAGGACACAGAGGTTTC